TGAAGGATGGAGGTATTGTGTTTTTATTTTTGTACATGAAACTATTTGTAAAAATATTTTTGTTCGATCATCTATAGATTTCCATGGGAAAGCGCTAGAACGGGAGTGGATGTTACACCTGATTGTTGTCCAGAAGTACGTTTGTATCAAATGCATATTACCGGAGACATATCGTTTGCTGCTAGACAATATATCTCAGCTACATACGATTTGGATTGGTTACGATCACAAGAAGATCTTGGTGGAACATTGGTACATGAAACAGCTCGATTTTGGGCATCAAGAGCCGTTTATAATGAAAAGAGACAACAGTATGAAATCTTAAGTATGTATATAGAATTTTATCTTTATGATACATTAGTATCACTGGTTCAGGCGCATACCAACCATATTCTGTATTCAGATGTTCTACCTCCGGACGAAGATGCTCAACCAAACAAAAATAATTCTGTGTATACGAACGCAATTGCATCTTTATCAATTGATCTAGCTGATAAAGTTAGGTAAGTGTTAATCTCATTTTGCTCATAAATATACGTATTAGGACCTTAATTTTCAGCTGTATAACAAATGAAAATGTGCCGTCTCAATGGCTTGATATTTCGAAAAACTTGTATTTTCCATTTAATGCTGAATCGCAATATCATCTTGAGTATGACAATTTTGACATAAGTAATATCAGTCGTTGTAACCATATCCTAGTTTTAAATATATGATGTTCATTTGTGTTTCCGTAGAGAATACGACAATTAAACAAGCTGATGTTGTTCTACTGGGTTTCCCGTTGATGTGGCCGATGAATGAAGCTGTGAGACGTAATGATTTGTTATTGTACGAGAATCTGACGAGAGATGATGGTCCAGCCATGACATGGAGTATGCATGCGGTCGGTTTTATTGAATTGAACGACATGCAAAAAGCCGAACAATTATTCAAGAAAAGTTATGAAACATACGTTAGGGAACCTTTCAATGTAAGAGAAAAATATGCTGGGTTAGACATAACTAGTCCATGTAGCGAAACTAACGCAAACAAAATAAAAATCTTCTAACTGTTTTATCCAAGATAAATTTTTTTTTTGTTTCCTTTCCTGTGGCGAAAGTTGCGATAAAAACTCTACACAATTACGTTAAGATGCGCACAACAAACCGCATGGTTTATGATCGTGGTTTTCTTGTACTGTTAGATCCCTTCTACATGAGTAGTGACTCTCTATAGTCATATAGCAACAACCGCAATCGCAGATAAGTGATCTAATCACCTTGAATCAACTACATTCTAAATTAGAGTACTTAAACATTATGAGCTGCACAAAGATCCGTGTCGGATCTTACGTGCAACTAAACCTTTGTTGATAAATACATAGATTTCTCGTAACAGAAATAAGTGATGAAGAATTTTTACAGCCAATAGTTAAGTCGCGTCGTGACTTTTTCTAGCTATTCGTATAATAACTTTTTCTTATGACTCCGGCACGCTCGCGACAAGAATAACTGTTGTGGTATTCTTGACACTTATTATGTAACAGAAATTCATTGCAATCAAGACGCAACTTTTGTGGGTGCAGCATGATCGTAAAGGGACAAATATCGTGCCAAGAACAAAGTCAAAACGTTAAGAAATATAAGAATACCCTGCCTAATGTCTGTATTTTATGCGCAGGTTTGGACCGAAGCTCGAGCTGGTGTTGGTGCGGTAAATTTCATTACGGGTGTTGGCGGTTTTCTTCAATCATTATTATTTGGTTATGGTGGTTTACGGCTCAAATTCGATCAATTCGAGTTTTATCCACAACTGCCTCCTGATAGCAAAGAAATGGTGTATTGTGGCCTAAAATATTTGGGAAGCATTTTGAATTTGAAAGTAAACATAGATCAGTACGAATTGCATGTAATCGAATTAAATGAAGAAAACGAAATAAATTATGAATATGCAGAAAATAATGGCAAATTAACAGGTTTGTAATCCGATTATTCCTGATTATCTCAAACTCGTCTTTTTTTTCATATACAAATTCAAAAAAAATAATTATATATAAGACGGCGACGTATCTGGAAACTTTATACTAGTCATTTTTTTCCTATAGCCTATACAAAAACTTTATGTTCTCTCACAATGTTTTTAACCTTATTTTTCCCATTTTAGTCAACGATAGGGTCATTGTTCCAACTAAAACACGTTTGATACTTCGACCAGGACATGCCATCTGTAGTCTAAATGCCAAATAAAACAATATTTTACCATAATTATCGTATTTTTATGTTGAATAGGCTATTTTTGAATAAAAATACAGTGATCTCTAACGATCAAATTAATAAATGTGATTATCTCTGTTTAAAGATAAATTGGAGAAACCATACAACATATGCAATAATGTAATTTGTTGGTTATAATTCTGTGTCGCACATACGCGACATCTAGCAGTACTGATCGATACGTTTCTTCCATCGACCACTAAAACCATTTCATAATGGTCACCGTTCTTCGTTTATCCTTCCTTCCGTGTATGATACAAAATGATGATTTGTTTTTATTATTAATTTTCTTATTGTCCCAACAACGCACTTTATTCATCCTCTTTTATTGAGATACTCGTTATACTATGTTATTATCAATCTGACCTACATTAGGTTCCATAGTAATTTTAAAAGCAGAGCAGGAGCATTGATTAATATCTTTCGTTGTCTGAAGAGTAGAATTTTGCGCAAAATACTGTGCAAGTAATTGTAGTTACTACATATTAATCTTTTGAATTTATCTTTTGAATGTCGTGGGTCTGTAGGTATTCCTTTAACAGGTGTTCTAACGAGAAGTATCAGTAATATTATAGCTGGTGTTCTACGTATCTGAAAAATATGTCACCTCGTGAGAGTGTTTCACTTTTTGTGAAGTGTTTCTCATATCAAGAATTGCTAATGATCTACCGGCCAAGAAAAAAAAGTACTTCCTTTCGTGATTCTTAGACGTTTTTTTTCGGCAGTTTTTCTTTGCCTTACTTACATTGCAAAAGACTTGTAATCAATAATTATTCATTCAAAATAAAATTTGTTGTCAAAAAAAATTATTGATTACAAGTCTTTTGCAATGTAAGTAAGGCAAAGAAAAACTGCCGAAAAAAAACGTCTAAGGCCGTAGCAACGGCATCCTTTGGCCATTAGATCATAATAATTAGCGACAAAAAATTATCATATCACAAAACTGTTCCGCTTCTTGTGTTTTTTAATCTCATTTACGTCGATCACTGATCTATTGAAAAAGATCTTGATTGAGATAAATTAAAAGAGAGATAACCAGAGACAATAGAGATAATAGTAAGATCCAATTGTTTCCTACATAGCTTAATTGCCTGATTACAACGGTGTGTTGTAAAATGCTCTATAAAAGACAGAATTATGACATGTCTCCAATGTAATCATGGCTACTCCTATATCATGTTTCCAGCAATCCTTAATGATATTAGACATTATCGGACGAAATGATCTTTTTTCTTATTTGTTAGATATTTCGACATCCAACTTCGAATTTGGACGATTCATTTCATCATCAAACGTCTATTTGTACACCACATTATTGAATAAATCTTAACAGTAAACTTTCATCGTCTCTTTCTTTGAATTTTTCATATGAGGAGCACTTTTCTCAAGAAGTGAAACACTGATGAGATGAAACATTTTCAACACAAGCTATAGTGTTACCGATACTTTACCTGCTAAAGGAATACCGGATCCGTGTGCTTAGAACTGTTCAGATGTTTTTATAGTGTCCTTGTTCGTTTCGTTCTTTGAAAGAGCATCTCAAAAGCTGGTGCTGTTAATTCATTGCACGATTATATCTGATGGATTCCTGCCGTTATAATGTATCGCTACTATGCCATTGTTTAATGAACAAAGAAAGCAGTATGAAACCTTATGTACGCAGAATTTTATCTTTATGATACTTTAGCGTCACCGGTTCGTGCGCGTACCAACCACACTATTGTTATCTGAGGAGCTGGCTTATAGCGATGCAAATATGTCTAATAAGGACAATAATTCTTCAGTGTCCTTCACAACATCGTCAAATAACGATGACAATTATTCTAATTGTATTCTAAGAATCTATAAGTTTTCGACATCAATTCCTTTTCGTTCTTTTTTGAAGTATTTTTATAATTGACACTCATTTTCAAGATGAACAAGACATCACTTATGAAGGGAAGATGTGTTTTCTAGATGATATCATGTATCAATTTTTATGGCGTTGGCGCCATTTATGTTTAGTGTTATTAAGCCTCTATTTATTTGTCTTAATCGCTCTATTTTGGCCTCAATTGCACTTATTCATTTCCACCGATCATAATGCAGGTCAGATATTATCATCACAACACGTGGACTCAGCAGCTTCACATACTTCTGTGCCATTGTCGATGATTCGTAGTTCACAAATTGTCAATCCACATGATTTCGATTATATTATAAATCCTGGAAGCTCAGGTATTTGTTCAGATCATAATGAACTCTTGTTATTAGTTTACGTACATTCATCCCCGGCAAATTTTAAACGTCGTGAAGCCATTCGTTTAACATGGGCACAACAAGTATTATTTCCAAATTTGAGAGTTGTATTTATGTTGGGCGCAACAGAAAATGTAGAGATAATGCAACAAATTAAATTCGAACATTCACTTTACAACGATATCGTGCAAGAAAATTTTATTGACTCCTACAAAAACCTAACATATAAAGGTAAGTTGAATCAAAAGCAGGAGTAAAATAGCACCTAGTGTTAAAAAGGCGCTATTGGGAGCTATAAAGTGGTTAGAAGCTGTAAATAAGCTGATGATTGCTTTGATCTAGTATTAATCTTCATCACTTTCTAAAACTCAAGCCATCTTGCATTTCAGAAAGCGATGAATATTACTATTTCATTAAAAACGACGATTTGGGAATTATAAGATTCTGTGATGAAAAACAGTGCTTTTCCCTCCTCGATCAAAAATCAATGGAAATAAAAAGAAGAGCTGATCGTTCTCTTTCGTATTTCCTATTTTATATTGTGTTTTTGTTTGAAATCTACTATTGTGGTTTGTGAAAATATATTTTGATATATTCGACTGTTTTTATCTATATTTAGGGATAATGGCATTGAAATGGATTAGTTTATATTGTAAAAATGTTTCTTACATCTTAAAGACGGACGATGATATTATTATTAACATGTTTGTTGTTCTACATCATTTATCATTAATTACCTATGAATATCCGCAAGAAAGATGGCGATCGTCAGTAGCATGTCTCCTATGGACTCATATGAAAGTAATGCGAGATAAAACATCAAAATGGTATTTATCTAAAGATGAGTATCCACAAGATTATTTTAGTTCATATTGTTCCGGTTCTGCTTATTTTATTACAAGAGATTTAATCGATGAGTTTTATGACACAAGTTTATACGTTAAATATTTTTGGGTCGATGATTATTATATAACCGGTTTACTACCTCGTAATTCTCGACGTTATGTTACATATCATTTTCTTAATTCAATTTATATTATCAATGTTGATTTAGTTGAAGAAAGATTTTTAAAACAAATAGACCAACTTGTATTTGGTCATATGCCTAAATCGATAAATAAGATTTATCAACTATGGACATTAATTGAAAAAACACAAATTGAAAAAAGAAATACAATGAGAGAAAAATATCGTCTAAAACATATTTAGTGAAAAAATATCAAAAGATATGATAAAATTAGTTTGATTTACTGCTCATCTCAAAATCAACAATCAAATTAAAACAAAATTATATTATTTACTTTAGACTATTTTAGAGGTAAGAATATCAGATGACTAACAGCTCGAGTAGAATTATTATGGTACAAAATTGAATATTTACAATCAAAAATATTTTTCCATCGTCAATTTTTATTTTTTAATGTTTTAAAAAAATCAGTTTTTTATTTAACAGTAATTAATTTTTAAAAATTTTTTAACATCTTAAATTAACAGTAAAAGTATCGTTTTACTCTTCCAACAATCCAAGACATTCCTGTTTGTTTATGGTCTTTTTTTTTTTATTGCATAGTCAAATATATATTTCTTGCCTCATTTTGTGTGCCACATACAGCGATAATATTATTCTCATTTTTCTTTCGTTGCCTTATATCTGCGCAGTATTTTCAATTTTTTTTTAAAGGATAGTGTTATATTTGAATAATTTTACTAAACATACCTATTTTTTTTTGATTGGGGAAACTAAAAACTAATTTATGCCTTTTATCTGTTATTTTTTTCATTAATTTATTTTGTTTATTTGTACTATTTGTGCATCTAAAGTGATTTTTTTCTTCTGTTGCAATATTAGTTTTGTGCAATTTTTTGTTTTTTGTAAGCAATATGAGAGACATCTAAACATATTTTTTTTTTTAGAAATAAAATTGGTTAGAAATACTTCTCTTGTTTTACTATCAGACATGCGATGGTAGAGTTCATTGTTACAAAAGTGTCTATCGTTACGGAACATTACTGTTTTTTATATCTACTATGCACTTTCACAAAGTAAAGTTGTTTGAAGTTAGCAAAAAGAATATCTCTCTGGATAAACTTGTTTAAGTCCTCATTTCGGGAGGAATCAAATTTTGTATGTTTTGGCCTATTTTTATATCGTTATAGGTTTTCAGTTCCCGTTGAATTAGATGGGCGAGCATATGTTCATCAGAATTTTTCGGGTCAAAAGCTTACACAGAAACTTGACTAAACTTTTAGATAAATAAAAAGAGCAGTAGTTTCCAGAAGAAAAAATATTGTCAGAGCAGCCACGATCGGAACTGAAATGAGGAACTCCTCTGAACTGTAGATACGAAGTTTTTGTTTTTGTTAATTCCTTGGCAATTTTTTATATTATAGATAAGGATGCACTAACATAAAATATATGACCTGAATTAATTAAATATTAAATATGAAGTAATTTTAGAAAATCTATTTTTTGTTCTGTTGTTTTACCTTTAAGATATTAAGGTCGTTGTTCGAGACAGAAGATTTTAAGATCATTACCAAAGGAGGTGAGGAGAAAATGGGGTAAAAAAGGACCAAAAATAGGTTTTTGAGTATTATACGTCTTCTCTCGGAAACTATTGAGAGGAATTTTACAAAACGTACATTGCAGAAATTGTTTTTTTTTACTCGGCGAGAATTACCATCCGACGGATTTATTTTGTAACGAATAGTCAGAATAGTCTCATTTCTTCTTTAAATTGAAACTACGACATTTGAGAACACCGTAAACTAGCCCGATGTTGAAAGTTATACACTTAGTTTCGTCATTTTTTGAACTTCGTGGTAAAGTCTTAGCCTTAAATTTTTTGGCATAACTATTTCTCGATATGATCAACATTTTCTGTTCAAATTGGTTGTGCTGTTAGAGAGATTTCTGACAAACGGAGGAGGACTTAAATGTTTTAGCGTTTCTATTATTGAAACTACGACATTTGAGAACACCGTAAACTAGCCCGATGTTGAAAGTTATACACTTAGTTTCGTCATTTTTTGAACTTCGTGGTAAAGTCTTAGCCTTAAATTTTTTGGCATAACTATTTCTCGATATGATCAACATTTTCTGTTCAAATTGGTTGTGCTGTTAGAGAGATTTCTGACAAACGGAGGAGGACTTAAATGTTTTAGCGTTTCTATTATCGATATGATGCTACCTATAGTCAACTATTTTTGGACTTGTTTCTGCTATCAACATTACGTTTTCTGCTTTTATCTAACAACGAAGTAAATAAGTGTTCAGTTCAAAATACCTACTTAGACATAGTTTCATACTGTGCTATCGTGATATTGTTCTATGTTTTTTAGATAGTCGTTAATAGAAATTAGATAACGTTACAGTCATGTGGTATGAAATATTACCATCCATGTTTCTAACATGGGCCCCAATAGGTCTCGGAGCTATAATTGTAGGTGGTCTTGGAAATTGGATTTGTTTAAATAAACACGTACGTATGCAATAGTCTCGTACTTTTACTTATCTATTGTTTTTCATTATTGTCGTTGTTTATATCTAGATGACTCCAAAAAATTTATTACGTGACGATCGTGATTATTATATGTATTTGCGAGATCGTCGAATCACCGGATGTGAATATTATCCAAAGGTATGCATTAGTGATTATTTAAAACAAAGGAAAAGTTGAATAATACAGTCGATATATTTTGATGGTTTTTGTTTTAGGGTCTTGAAGACTTGGATGAAGCACCAAAACCAAAAAAAAGAAAAACCCTATGGAACTGGTAGAAATTATGTACAATAGACGTATTCTCCCAAACTTGTCCTTCCATAAACAAACGTTTTCCTTAGAATTTTTATTTTCTGCAGTTATCTGATTTTTTCTTTCAAATTAAAAGTAGTTTTTTTCACGTCTTTTTTTTTATCGTTGTCTATCTCACACAAATGCGGTGCGAATCACTTCGCTGATATTTTCCAAGCTGAACGAGGGGAAAGTGATACAAAACAGGACATCTACATCCAGACTTTCCGATTAGGATATGGAGGTAAAGAAAAGTTTTCCTCGTCAATAGAGCGCCAATAGTTCATCTCTCAGAGATCAGCTATAGATTAGATAAAAGGTGTTTTTCTCATTTTCCTTTCACCTAAATAACAAAGTAAATATATCATTGAATAGCCCCTAAAATTCTCTACACAATGTGTATAATATAACAGTTGCACAGTCCCTAGAAAATGGATCTGAAGTAAATCGAATAGAGAAAAATGTGACATACTTCCAGTTTTTACTATTTCTTACACTAGTAAAGAAACATGTTGACAGAGTCAGAAAAGTAAAAGCACCTATTTTCTTATTATTGGGATTTTCAGAGATTTTCCAGAAATCCACCGTAAGACAGTCCTATAAAGAAAATTCCAGTGCAGTACTGGTAAAAATCAGTGCGCACCGATGCGCATGGCATGCCATCGGTCACTGGCACTGGCTGGCACCGGTGTGCACTCGTGCCCTGCAAGTGCCGAAAGAGTGCCGCACTGATAATTTATTTAATCAATTTAATTAGTTCTTTATTATGATTGTTTATGCTGAATTTTGTATTAGAGTGCGGCACTGATCAGTACTACATCGACATGCCAAAACCATGTGGCATTGCCTCGGCACTTCTCTTATGAGAAGGAAAAGATGAAATCAGAAAGACATTCGAAATATTACAAGTAGACTGTAGCAGTAATATAGAGAGAAATGGACAAAACAAAATGGTAATTGAAAACAAAAACGGCACTGGTACGCACCGGTGCGAGATTTTTACATTCTTTTTGGCACTGGTGTGCACCGGTGCCCAGAAAAAAAATTATTCGCTACCGGTCCGCACTCGTGCACAACCAGTGCCGATAAGATATTTTTTGTAGGGAATGTATTAGTTTGGAGTTGTTTTAGTGTTCTAAGTATTCAATCTACTCATCAGAACATGTCCTAAAGGTCTCAAGCGGTTTGGTTGGGTTTTGAGCGAGACATAAGTATTTTACTCTTGTACAGTTCTATCTAAATTGACGTATTTTTCACAAAACCGTTTTTAGGCAAAAATTGAAATGGGCCGATTTTCAACTTCACGCGGACCCGTCCTTTTGGTACTGTTCTCAAAAATTTTGAAGTAGGTAATCTATCAAAAATTTGCTAAGATTTTTTTTTACTGTCAATGAATATTGTTTTTATGGCACAAATTTCTGATTTAATCGACCGGAAGCGATTGAATTTAACGTAAACGGTTTTATTTCTTATTCAGGTCAAGCGAAAAAACGAAATAAATCATTATTTTTGTAGGATAAGTTGAATGAGAAAAATTGAACTGACGATCAGATATTGTTTTAGATTTAAAAAATAAATCTAAGTGTATAATATGAAGGTTTGTATAGTATTGATTACAAACCTAAACGAGCACTGTCTAACCTAAATATAACAGAATCATGTATGAATAGAAAACCTTCATGGTATTTATTATTAGCAGACATATTCCTTTGACCATAACAGACGACCAAAATCAACAAAAAAATCACATGAAGCTTTGCTATGCCGAAGAATAAATTATAGATTTTCACATTGCTATTAGTTGTGTGTCCAGAATATAATCAATTATTATTAAGTTGCTAATTACGTGGAGAGAGGACTAGATCTATGAAGAGCCCGTTTTTGTTTGTTACCTTTTATCAGTAGCTTTTGTCCTCGATTGCTCTTAATTTTATTTGTCTAATGCTGTCATTACTATTATTAATGTGCAGATGTTTAAAACGGATCATAATGAACAATATTTGGATTTATAGAGGTTTACTTAGAAATCTAACATAAAACGTTATCTGATATACTTCAACTGTTGAACAGGAATGTTAGAAATAGAATGAATGATTGGTAAAAAAACTCATAACGAGTGCTCAAAAACAACTTAACGATATAAAACTTTTCGTAGAAAATTGATGAAAAATTCCATTTTGCTCTATGTCTAGTATACCTTGTGATATCCTGCAAACTATGATTAAACATTCATGAACTGATGGGGCATTTTATGTTAGAAATGCTGAATTAAACGCATGAAAATTCACATTTCCAGTTACGTGAATAAAAATACGTCGACGATCGAACAAAGCAAGCTTTATGTACTAATATTTCCCTATATTTACGTCTTCTGTGTGAAACCTATTTACGTTGTATTAAACTATTGTTATTATCCAAGGTTTTTGCAACTACTTGAGTGTTTTACATTAACACATTTAGAGTGCATTCGATAAATTGAGTCTTTTTAGCTATGACATAAAACTACTATCCATTTCAAAATACGGTGGTCACCGATATCTTTCGAATAAATTTTCAACAAAAAGAGCTAGAACTTTACGGTTTTCAGCATTCAACAGAAGACAGTTTGAGAAGTAAGTCTATGAAAAAATTCAGGCTCCTGATCAGGTTTATCATGGTAAGCCATTCCAAGTAAAATGTCCGAGTTTACCGTTCCTAGGCCAAACAATGAAGTTCAATTCGGAGACGTCAGCTAGAATCGTCAGACCGTCCTCTTTCAAGCTAAACACGATTCAGGTTTTCATTCTCAATGGCTGAGGAATTCCGGTAACCTACTATCCTTCACAGTTTTGGCTTGGGAACTACAGAGAGATATGGAGTATGGGTTATCGACATCGCCGATCATCGTGGCAATGTTTGTTTTCTTTCTCAGAAAGTTCAGCTGAGTCAATTTTTTCCAGAATCTACTTTTTCTTCTATGTCCATATAAAATTAAAATATTCATAACTCAGTCATTTCTCATCCAAATAAAATTAAGTTTTCAGCAAATATTCAAAACAAGTCATGGATTATAAACCAGGTCGAAAAAATGTGATTTGAGTCACGAATCGAGCGAAGGTTTTCAGAGACCTTCTTAAAAACTTCCAAGACTATGTACTGTCTTAGGCACGTCATTGTTTGGCCTAAGAGCGGCAAACTCGGACATTTTACTTGGAATGGCTTACCATGATAAACCTGATCAGGAGCCTGAATTTTTTCATAGACCTACTTCTCAAACTGTCTTCTGTTGAATGCTGAAAACCGTAGAGTTCTAGCTCTTTTCGTTGAAAATTTATTCAAAAAATATCGCTGACCACCGTATTTTGAAATGGATAGTAGTAGTTGTTTGACATATCGAGAAAAAGAGACTTTCGGTATTATGACTGATGTAAGTTGAAAAATATCGTAGATATTATCATGTTTTTGTGATTACACTGAAATCTTGTATTCGTAGTTGTTCTTCTTACTTTTTCACGCATTGATTTTAATTGAAAAATACGCTTATCCACACATATATATATTTACTGCAAATAAAAACAAAAGAAAATTTTGCATTATATTTTAAACATAAACAAAAAAATGATTATTATTTTATTATCACCGGTATGCGCAAAACAAACAAATACATATAGAGAGAGAAGCAAGTGAATCAACAAAAAATAAAAAGATCGATCAAAAAATGAATAAATAATTCTAATTTAATACCGATAGAAAAACAATACAGCGTCATGGAGTGAGCAACTAGCACCGCTAATAGATATATTAGAGTATCTCACTTATCGACAAAACACAATTTACAAATATACAAATAGAAAACAGACCACAAGCAACTGTTCATTCAACTCGGTATACTAATGTGATGTTCGAACAGTATCTCCCAAAAAATGTCATGAAGAAAATGACTAGCGAGATGTTTCATTGTATTTTATTTTTTTATATTTTCATTATAAATTTTCATTTGTTGTCTGAGTTATTAAATCTTGATTTGTTGTTGTAGATGATTCTAACGCCGATGATTCTTCTAAAGGTAATTCAATTTTAATAAAATTTTCTCGTAAAAATTGTACTCTCAATTGATCATAATCGTACATATATCCTTTTGGTAATCGACATAGACGCGATGTTGAACGAACAATAATTTTTCCATCATCTCGTTCTTGCTGTTCAATTAAAATTTTCAATGAATTATATTCCGATTGTACGCGAATATGATCAAGAGGTGTTTGAAATGGTAGTTTAAAATAATAGATTAGTTGACGTCGTCCATTTTTATCAGAAGTAAAACAATGATAACCATCTGTTAACGTTTCATCATCTTCTTGTTGTTGTTGTTGTTTTTTTTTTCCATTATCAAAATCATCTTCATCACTTAGCTCATGCTGATTGTTGTTATTATTATTATTTCGATTCGTATGTTGTTGCTGTTGAGTAAGATTGCGTTGGGAGGATTTTGGCGATGAGTTTTGAGTAGCAATATTATTAAAACGATTGATTATATCACTAACACGTTTAACGTTTTGGGTTCCATCTTTGTCATTCGTTGATGTTGATGTAGTAGTTGTGGGTGGTATAGTCGTTGTAGGTAGTCCTACATGAATTAGTGTTCGATTATTTCCGATCGATTCAATACGATTCATTAAAAATGAACTATTATTTATACGTTGATCATCGTTAACATGTGTTGCTGTCATTATTGAAGGTTTTTCTTCATTTTTATCCTCTGTGTGTGACGACGACGACGACAAAAAATAANCATCTTTGTCATTCGTTGATGTTGATGTAGTAGTTGTGGGTGGTATAGTCGTTGTAGGTAGTCCTACATGAATTAGTGTTCGATTATTTCCGATCGATTCAATACGATTCATTAAAAATGAACTATTCAAAAATTCAGTTAAGATGTCTCGGTTGAAAAAACAAAATTTCATTATTCTCCCCTCTATCGGAAGTAAATATTTGTTGTACTTTTTAGAACGTTTTAAATGTTTAACCCCTATTATTTATACGTTGATCATCGTTAACATGTGTTGCTGTCATTATTGAAGGTTTTTCTTCATTTTTATCCTCTGTGTGTGACGACGACGACGACAAAAAATAACGATGATTAGTATTATTTTGTGTAAGAACTTTATTACTATTTGTTTCAGATGTGGGTAACATTTGGACTACCGGTGGTTGAAGAGTATTGTTGACTTTTGTCATCTCTTTTTCCAAACCTACGAAATGAGCAAAGATTGATTGAAAAATTTGATCTTGAAAAATATTGACAAGTGCAGAATGTGTGTGTAATTAATTCATTGTGCAGATTAAAGATACTCGTTTGTTGTCATGCAAAATACACAAAATTCATAAAATAAAAGCAAAAAAAACAATAAAAATCATCTTTAATTCAATCTAAATGTCTTTTGATCAATTCGTGCATGAAAGCTAACTAAAATTATATCACGCGGTACATGAATAGATCTTCTATTTTCCAGAATAAATTATAAAAACATCATTTTTTTTTTTGAACTTTCTCCAACAAAAGAGTATTTTGTCAAAAGTGTATTTGACCTTAATAAACATTTTAGATCATCTAATTTTAGAACAAAAATAGAAAGAAATCCTTCACCTATTCAAAAACACTGGGAAGTCATTACATAAGTAAGCGGTTTTTTAAATTAAAAAAAAAATGATGTCTTCGTTCATGCTACTAAGGTCACAAAAATACATTGCAAAAAAACACCATAATGAAAATGATATATCATGTCATGCAAACAAATAGTCTATCAAAAACAAAGGAAGAAATACGAAACTCTAAATTTACTTCTTATCTATCAATAGAATACTGAACTGACCCAATCCATTGCTGCTCGAAGCTGATTTTTTACTGAAAACAACACAATAAGATAATAGACACACGCACACAAGTTCTATTTAAAAATCTAAAGTTCAAATTTTATAAGATATATTAGTACAACCCCTGTTTACTCAACAAGAAACACGAATTGTTAGTCATGTATTTTTCTACTCATGAGCGTGTATAAATTGTGCTATAATCAATCACAACTGAAATACCTATTACTCGATTTTGGCAGCACAAAAAAAAAAAGAAGAAAACAAAAAATTATGATGAAATATTTTTGTAATATACCCTTTATTACCCAAATTGGATGTAATCTGATTTTATTTTATCCAATTTTGTGATCTACTTACCTACTTCACTTCTTGTTGGATTATTTGTTTCATTTTGATTATTCAATATTAATGGACTGGATGAACTTCGTCTCAAGAGTAAATCGGTTGATGCTGGTACCGATTGTTGTTTTTTCTCACTCTGTTTTTCTAAAATTCTTTGTTTTTTAATTTCTTTCCATGCCCATGGATGATATTTTCCTTCAACAATTAAAATTCCATCTTCGGTCAAATATGAAACAATTGTCTCATCATCCACTACTTCGGGTACGAATAATTCGGTTTTAAATTCATGTTTTCGATAATTACCACGTCTATCTGTGGGCTCAATCGTATGACAATGTATTAAAATTTTTGGTCCTTCTAATTGTACACTTATGTCATTTGTATCGTAAGATTTTCCAATATGAAGACGTTGTTCGTACAAATTCAATTCAATTACACTATCTTCAGAATCATCGTCATTGTCTGTTAGATAAGATCGATGGCCAGGACTATTCTCTGTATCTGAAACATCGTCACAAACTGTATTCGAACCATTCAATAGAACATCGTTAAAGTTCGATGGACGATCGAGACCATTCAAATGTGATGGAAGTTGAACGTGAGGTCTAGCGGAGGTCTAAAAAAAGAGATGAGTATATATATAACTTCATATCCGATACTCAAATACGCATCAATATGTGTTCAGGATCACATTAGACGAAACTATTATTTTGAGATGAGACATATGACACGATACCTGTTTTTGACTGTTAAAACGGTTTGAAACTGTTGACTCTGGAAACGTTGGCGTTGTTGGTGCACAGTTTGTATATGATTGACGAAGATTTTCTAAATTTGTTCGATCATTTAATGAGTTATGATAATCTGCCATGTTTGTTCTCGATGATGGATCTTGTCTATCTCCATCGAGTGATTCACAAGAACTGCTCACTGATGGTTCTCGACGTCTTTGTATAACTGGTCGAACAACGATTTTTCGTGATGATTCACGTTTGATGGGGTGTTGACGACGTAATTTACACGATGCACGATTATCACCACTATTATGTATGTCAGAGGTGTAGACGGGTGAATCGTAGATAGTTGTGGAATAATGAGAGTGAGATTGATGATTTGACATTGGATTTACCGTAGAGGATGGTATACTAGACTAAATAGAAGAAAATATAGATAAATATTAGATAGGATATACAAACTCTTTGATTAAATTTGGTCAACATGGCTTAGAGTAAATGCGTAGATCAAGGGAATTTGAGCGAGTTATCAGATGACCACATGATTTACCTTTTAAGTTACTCTTTTGAAGATAAATGTTGAAGGAAAAAGAAAAAGAATAGATTCTTAATATAATAACGGACTAGAGACCTCACTATCGCTCTATTATTAAGTAAGGTCAAACTTCTGCTATAGTGTATCTATATAAATGAATAAAGAGGAAGAAGAAAAGTCTTATTTTTTCAATAGAGAATTATGTAAAATATGCCAAAGAAGAAAGAAAGGTTAAGATAACGTTTGTCTTTATTCAGTTGGTTCAACACAGCTGTTTAAGAACACATGAGAGGGTGCATTTTTTTTTACATTCATTAAAATAACTTTTTAAATATCATATGTTTAGATTCTTCAAAATGAGCTTTATTCGGTATGCAGACTCAGCATTATACACTCGCGATTTAAAATTCACGCAAGAGCAGAGAACTGAACTTTAAACATATTGAACAGTATTTAACTCAGAATCTATCTTTTTAGCTGCAAGCGCGGTTAAAGATACTTTCTATTAGTAAAATTTTCTTTAAAACATTTTGTCAAATCTCACTTGAATCAAAAAAATTTTTTTTTTGAATGATTTTACATCAATTACCTACTGGTGTGCTATTATTAAAAATTTTAAATACAAAATATATAAAATATAAAAATAAATTTTTTGTGCTGAGCAAAACTTCTCGTTTGTGTTACGGCAATCTAACAATTCTTTCTTTTTTCAAAACTAGAATGATTATAACGGCCAAAGTAAGAATAAGGAATAAGAAGGAATACACCGATAGTGATAGAGGGAAAGAGAAATAGAAACATCGTTTGTTCTTTAACATTTTTTCACCATATTTCATTCTGAAAAAAAGGGTAATTTGCAAATAAGTCAATGCCACAAATATTGAACATGATGTTGTTAAACACAATTTGAAGTAGATTATGAAAACTATTATATAACTAATAGAGAAGTACCAAATTTTTATCTTTTTATATTTAGATGTAAAGGGGGGAGGGGGAATGAAACAAAAGAAAAGAAAAAGGAAATGAACTCATTTAACAAAGTAAATAGAAACAAAGAATTTTTTAACGCTATCGAGCGTTTCTAAACACGCATGCATCATTTTTGTGATTAACACATATATATGGATAATACTATTTGCAAAAATAAGTGTATATTTTTGTTTTCTTCAGTTTTATGATGTATTGATAGACCAATCTGACCTTAAAGACTGTGATTCTCATATTTTGTTTTTAAATATCAAAGATTCACACTTTCTATACACTTAGAGATACTTTTTTTCCATCGTTAGATTCTACTAACCTCTAATAGATGTCTTCCATTTGTGTTTGCGTGTGATCGTGGATATTGTGATGATGATGGTGGTGCATCATAATCTTCTGTGATAATTGTATTTCCGAATTGCGCTGAAGATAATTTCCCATTAGAACTTGTATTTCCCCATTGAGAACGATTTGCATACACACTTCGTGGATCATAGTTGGTGGTATTCGATTGTTCAAAATTATTTGAAGATACACCAGCAGAAGAATGGTGAGGAGTACGTGCCGATAAAGTTCGTGAAGTCGTATCAATAACATCGTTTGTTATTACATTCGGATGTCGTGCACTACCGATTGTTCTTGTATCGTAAAGAGTTCGATAAGGATCGGTATTTGTTGTATATTGTGATGGTAATACATTATCTCGATGGCGATAATCAGTTAATTGATCGATAGAATGAGAACGTTGATAATGATGTTGTGTTTCTTCACGTGGCTGAGGAGCATGATGTAATAAATTGACTTGAAGTGGCGATGGTCTAGTATGGTAATCTGGTCGATCTTTCCAATATGGTTTACCCGCCGTGTAATTGTCATACGATGATTTTGTGTTTGTTGTTTCATTCTGCCCACTTCTAAAACCATGTCCCTGTATTTCTAATGATGGTAGTGGTTCATACCGTAGCGGTGGAGGTCGTTGTTGTTGTTGAGTATTAGTAGTTGTAACAGATGGTCTCACCGTTGCTGTTGTATTAGGATAATCATTTGAAATCATAACATCTAATGATCGCGATGTATGACGATTTAAATTTGAATTTAATGTATTTTGTCTTGCTTGAGCTTGTTGTTGAAGTTGTTGTAAATGTTGTTGTTGTTCAATACGACGATATTGACGGTCAAGTGCAAAAAGTTCTTCAACTGAGAGACCCAAAGGACGTTGAGTGGATGAAGAACTTGAAGACATCATCATTGTTATTAAATTAATATTTGTACAATAATATTGCACGTGTGTATTGATGATAAATGTATGTGTTTTTGTTTAAGAAAAAAATAATCTATGAAAGATCATCATTACCATCATCATCAATGTAGTAAAAAAACAGAACAAAAAAAAAATGTAAAGAACAATATTTTATGAGAACAGAACGAAAAGAGAAATCTAATAACAAAAAAAAAAAAGTTTTTTTTCTTCAAGTTCTGTACGTGTGATTAATAGAACAAACGACGAAGTATTAAATCGAATAGGGAGTAGTAACGTGATCTTTAAATACACGTGTGTTTCATCTATAAAAAAAAAAGAAGAAAAAATGAATTTCGTGTGAATATCATAATCATCATCATTTTAAAATAGTTGCATACAATCTTTAAAATTGAAATAATTATTGAAAATAAAGACAGAGTGAGAATGATTAAAAGATCGATATCATTCGGTATTAAACTAAAATTGACCATTTTCTATTTTCTTTCTCTGATTAAACATTTTCAAACTAATCTTCTGTTTTTACAGCGAGTTTAAAGATTCTAATTGTTATTAATTTGTTACTTTGTTTAGATATTAACTATATTTTTATGCAAACTATAACTACAATTACTAATATTGTACTAAAATAATTATGATAATGATATATGTATAGGTTTAAACAAATGTCAAATAATTTTATGCTTATTAATAAATTTTTCTTCCATAAGCATCTTCTCTCTAATAGATTATTAAACATGAATGTAGATTTAGCACGATGAAGGAGTTTTGATACGTGTGAAATGATTTCTCTAGAGAAAAATAGTAATGAATTTTGTTCTGTTTCTTTTGTTGTTGTCTTTTCAAATTGCTACAAGACGATTCAAAAAGTACTTTTTTCTTTTTTTTTCTGAAAAATATCCCTGGAAGTGTACGAAGAATATTTTATTGTGCAAAAAAAAGAAAATTTTTTTCTTCAAAAATTTCTCATCGAGACTATGTCAATGTTGAATAGAGTTTGACATTTTGAATAGAGTTTGGATAAAAAGGTATCTCACTCAAATCCTCGTACTATCGAAACGGTTGATAATATTTCAATTTTATAACTTATTTTTAGACAATCACATGAAACGCATCCTAAACACGATCGCATTACAAAAGACTTTCTTCTTTACTTGACGGTGAACAGTATTTTTTTTATTTAAAAATGAAAAGAATCAGTTTCTCAGTTTTACTTTAAAATTTAGTTTATTAAAAACACTGAGAAATTGAAGTTTTACTACTAGTAGGAGAATGTTAAAAAAAAAAGAGGTCGCTAATGTCATCTCTAGATTTCAGACATCAAATGTTTTTTAGACAACAATATAAAATGTAAAATATGTCTTATTCACATTTAACTAAGAAAATATTTCAATAAAATCGTACTTTTCTTACTCTAGTATTCGATCGTTCCTTTTGTAAGTGTAAATGACTTCTCCTTTTTTTTTTGTGTCTTTACAATGATTTTACTCTTGAATTTTAAACAATTAGACGAATAATATTTGTATCTTTTTTCTCGATTGAAAAATTTTCTTTCTTTCATCGTCGATCATCAACCTCTTGTCTAAAGAAATGAAATGAGTAGAATTCTTCTTTCTTACAAAGTGGTAATGAAAAAAAAATCAAGAAATTATTTACGTAAATTTGATATCGAGACAAATATCAAACAGAAATAAAATAATAGGAGAAATTTGATTTCTTTCTAACTGATTGAACTTTCTTTTTTTTCTCTGTATATTACATCTACGTGACATTCTTTCAATTGTACAATAAAAAAAGAATAAAAAAAAAAAAAAAATGTTTTGTCCATCAAAATGACGAAATTTATTCGTCATTTATTTGACTGTACACGAAAAGTACTATTATAATTTAGAGAATAAAAAAATACTTTTTCTTAAATCAGCTAGATACACAATAAAAAAATACTTACTCAAAAGAAAAGATTTGTTGTTGTTGATTTTTATAAGAAAAAAAAATGAACAACTAATAATAATAATAACGTCGTCATAGATTTTTCTCTTATTTAGTCGAGATGTTTACAATTTACAGCTTAATATTATAATTATTTTGTTTTATTAAAGCATAAAAATGAAAGAAAATCAATCATATGACGATATAACAATCAACCTGTACACTCTATTGTACACATTTTTTTTTATTTCCTGTAGAGTGGAGGTGATAATGTTTCCAAACACACACACACACACTCACACACACAAATGAAAAGGAATCCATTATATGTACTATAAAGGAGAAAAAGAACTGCTAGACGATAAAAAAATAAAAAGAAGAAAGAAAAACATTTTCGAAAAAGAGAAGAACTTTCGTTTTTCTTTTTTTGACATATTTCTTCCTTATGGCATACAAACACACACACACACACACGCACACAATACTAATACATAAAAATGTCATTTCGTAACTATGTAGCGATATTCTCCTTTTTGCCTTTGGATAATAGCTGTGATATCTATATAACATTAATAAAACAACATGTCAATACCAATGACTACTACAACATATCTTTACACCGATGTACACATATGCATACGCACATCCAGATATTTGTATAAGAACTGCAGGCATCACTTCGAAAAAAAGAAAGGTAATTTAGCTTCTTATTAAGATAAGATCACGATGTGTATGTATGCGGAACTTTTTTTCTGAAAAATACTAAAACAATTATTTTTTAAAACTTGAGGTTATAACAACAGTAATATTTTGTTCTGGTAAATTAAGTATGTATTTAGATTTTTTCTACCGATAAAATTAAACATCGATCAATCTTCTGTTGTTGGTTTTTTTTGAAAAGTATGATTGTCTAAAGCTGACAATTTTTTTTCATCATTTTCTCTAATCTGCTTAAGAAAAAAAGAAATTCATCTAGATGGCAGACACAATCTGGTGCAATATATTTTTTGTCTTCTTTTTTTTTTTTTTTTTTTGTTGTTGTTGAAGGTCAAAGAATTATATGTATTTCAGTCTTTCTTAATACATAACAATCAGTTGTCATAAAATATGAATAATTAGAGATTTCTGTACAGTTTCATCTCTCAAGCCTTCAGATGACAGAATGCTGTACAAATTATGTGGATAAATTCGAAGCAATTTATCAAGTAGTGTCTGTTTTTTTGTTTTTTTTTTGTTCGATGATCGTATCATGAAGTATCTTAAGATCAATCATTCTATACATTCATACCAATATTGTGCAATAATTTGATTGATACGCATATATTTATTAATATACAAGTAATTTTCATTTTTAACATTTTTTTTTGTTGTTGCAACATGTATAAATTTATGTGGTAATAGGAATGGTGAAAGAGTTTTATACATATATGCTCAATATATGATAATTTTTTCTCTCTAGACATGATCATCTCTCATTTACGAATAAATCCCGCCTATAATTTAAATACATATGTGTATATGTCTATATTGACGACGATTGTTATTAAAAGTCTAAACTGTATATATAGTAATACAATGTGAAAAAAGAAAATGAGAATAGAAGAGGGAAAGAAATATGATTATTTTAAATGTGTTTTGACAACATTGACATAGTAGTAGTAGAATAGTGTGAGTATAAAGTAGGAGTGGGTAAAACATATAAACCTATCAATTTATTTATCAATCTTGATCATATCTTTACATGTAGGTGCGAGACGCTCAATTTAGTTTCTTATTGTTTATATTTAATTTCTTTAGATGTAAATTTAGATTTGATTAACCATAAACATATCGTCCTCGAAACATTCTTTAACACCTGTCTATTGTTGACATTATTGTAAACATTTAAGTTAAATTAAACAAAAAATAAAATAAAATAAAATTCAACTCAACTAGAAGGAGATATACACATCCTACAATCAAATACATTTGTAAAGAGATGAATATTTTAAAAATTTATCAGTAAAACACAACATGGATTGACAATAATTGTAAAACAAGATCAAATTTGCTAAAGATCTTATTTTAATAACCAAAATTAATTGAATACATGTACATTTAAGAATTTCTCAAAAATGTATCTGAATATTATTAATTTCAGTAACATTGATTAAAAAAATGAAGTGTTCCCGTAAGATTAATTGAAAAACAACACATATTGTAGCATCAAACTTGTATAGGCATGTATTAGCTTCGGTTTTCAATCGGTTATCCGAAACCGATCATAACCGATAATCGAAAAATATTTTTATTTGCACAGATTCTTGAAAATACCTTTGAAACAGTATGAAGGAAAGAAACATTTGTTGTTCATAAAAATGTTCATTCCAGAGGAAAGAAATTCAGAATTGTATGCTAAACATTTTTTGAATCCAACACTTTTCATGCAAATTTAAGAAAAAAACAATTTGCTTTGAAGATACAACTTTTATTTTTTGAAAAATTTCACTTATTTTAAAATAACTTCTCCTTAAAGGTTGAGTCTCCGCATAAGACTTGAAATCAGCCCACTAACTTTAGCCTTTCCAATCGGTACGAAACTCATCGAACATTAAGCCTAGCCCAATACATCATTCGACGCGCCGTGACAACCTCTACAAGGTGTACTAATAGGAAGGTTAACGAAGCCTGGCAGCAGATTTTATGGGTGTAATACTAGACTTTTTCATGGCTCGCCGCTATGTCTAGGGAACTTTTGTTCATTTTTTCTTATGAAACTAAAGAGGATCTCTAATCATTCATACATCATTCGATGCGCCTTCAAAAGGTCTACAATACGTGTTAATAGGAAACTTGGCGAATCCTGATAGCAGGCTTTATCGGTTTAACACTAGACTTTTCAACAGGTCGCCACTATGCCAATAGAACTCTTATTCACTTTTCTATGTGAAGCTGACGAGGATCTCTGATCATTCATACATTATTCGATGCGCCGTGAAACGTTCTACAAGATGTGTTAATAAGAAGCTTGACGGCGGTGTTTGGGTATTAAATACTGCGTCGCTTTAACCTAGAATGGCTCCAAAAATTGTTCGCTATCTTTATTTTTCATTTTTCTTGTTGACCATACGGATTAGAACAAATCTGAAAAAAGATTTGAAAAGCTGATAGAATCTGAGTTTTACAGTACTGTATAAAAGAGTTCTATCAAAGCTCTGAAAACCAGGGTCTCTGGAAAACCAGAATCTTAGGAAATCAAGTCTCAGCGTTCAATCTGGAAATTCGTTGCAAAAACATCTGTCGTGTAGAGCAAACGTTTCTGAAAGAAAATGAGACGTCTCCCAGATCTCTACGACATTTCTTCATGAAACAGCATTTAATTTACGGAAGGCCCTAAGCGCGTCCCATCTTGTTTTCCTCTTCGTTCTCCTGGTATGGGACGGTTCGTAAATTAAATGCCGTTTCATGAAGAAGTGTCGTAAAGATCTGGGAGACGTCTCGTTTTCTTCAGAAACGTTTGCTCTACACGATAGATGTTTTTGCAGCGAATTTCCAGATTGAACACTGGGACTTGATTTTCTAAGATTCTGATTTTCTACGACTCTGGTTTTCGAGAGACCCTGGTTTCCAGAGCTTTGATAGAACTCTTTTATACAGCACTGTAAAACTCTGATTCTATCAGCTATTCATGTGTATGTATGCGGAACCTAGGCTTAAAGGTTAGCCGTTATGATCGGTTAACCGAAACCGTTGCACGCCTAAACTTGTATCACCTCAAATACCATTGAACATGGACACCTTGTTAAGACATTACAAACATTTTAATAAACGAAAAAAAAGATAACATAACAAAATATATGTACAAAAGACTAGAGTTAGATCTTTTAAGCTGGATCTGGACTAGCGGCACTATCACTCATAAGTGAAGATGAGGCTAGTGATGTTTGCTGATCAACATAAGATTTTAAATGTGTTGTAACACTATGGCCAAGAATTTCATTCTAAAATATAACAACAATTCATTGAAGACACGTTTATTAACAAACTGTAATTGTTTTTTACCTTTAGTAACCAAGAGATCGTAATTTCATTGTCATTTTCATGGTCATCTCGAACTTTAACTATTACTTTTGAATTATCGATATTTATCTCAGATTCAGATAAAATTGTTATCACATTAGAAGGCATTTTCCTAAACATTAATAAAATGCTAATAATTTAATACAACTAAGAAGAGATTATTGAACGCATACATTTGTAATAAATCTGCTACATTAACAATTAATTTAGATTGTGTGGATTGTTTCAAAATAAACTTGGAATGAAATTCAACTACATGTTCCTTTAAGTTCAATTCACTAATGGCATCTTTTGAACGTAATAAACGCAAACGCTTGAAAAAGAGACAAGTAAAGTAGAAATGAGCAAAATATATGGTTTCTAAATACTTACTCCATCTTTTATCACAAGTACACCTTGCATCTGTTTGGAACGTTTTTCAGCACGACTAAGACCACATGTATCTTCTGAACAGAGAGAAAGAAACAGTAATGCTCATCTTAGAAAAAGAACTTAAAAAATCATTTACGTTTAATTTGTTTAACAAGATCCATTGAAATATCCACCGGTATTCCGTGTTGAGTTTGAATTGTTATTGTTTCACCGTTAGCGGGTTTATAACAAGGAGTTTCTTCGAAAGAAGGAGATTTAATATGATCTTTGCCTCTGCTTCTCTCTCTCTCTCTCTGCTTAACTTACTCAGTTCTTCTTGTATTCTTCCTTTAAGAAATTCCATGACACCTTCTTCTCCATGTACCAGAACGACATTTCGTGGTTGACATTGACGAATTAGTTGAGTTATACCTTTAGCATCAGCATGAGCACTGAACGACATGTAATGAACAGATAATTTGGCTTCTATCTGAAACAAAAAAAACATATGCTTACAGATCGCGAAAACCAGAAACATATATCACTTAGGCTAGAGCGCAATAGAGAGAAAAATTTGCTTCACACATTGAAAATCATCAGATAAAAATGTTTCCAATTGTCTTTCAAAATGGGATTAACTAACGGCAAAACGCCAAAGAGTCCCTCCCTCAGATTCATCAGCTGTATCATTATACAATTCAAAAACACTGAATCAAAATAATCTCTTTTTAAAATTATCAGCACAAATTCTGCTGCCTCTTCCATTAGCTATCATTTGTTATGTAAAATAGACAAATTTGTATATGCGTGCATCTTACTTCTTTCCCATCAAATAAAAATCTCTTTTGACCTAATAATAATTTTGATCCAACTGTATTTGCCACACAATAACCAGGAATTATGATCTAAACCGATATAAAATGAAAATTAACCATAAAAAGACTTCAGTTTATAGAGGATGACAGACCATATTTTTTTCATCAGGTGCCCATTTTTTAAATAAATGTAAAGAATATCCAGCATGTAACATTCCCGGTGAAGCAAATACAATCATTGAGCCCGGACGATCAACATAAGAACGATCCCAAGGCTAAAACCAAGTCAGCAAATGAACAATTTGAATCATACGAATGGGATAAATAAAAGAAATGGAGAGGAAAATATTGATACTACATACTTTAATATGTTTAAAATCGAAAACATTCTTTTCATGAAATGTATTTTGAATTTTTTCATTTGTCCAGGATACAAATAATTGATAATAAGTATTAACCTAAATCAATAAGCAATAACAGAACTGGATTCAAGATTCTAAGAGAAAAACACATTGGATAAGTAGAACTTTTAAGGAGATACATACTTTTTCACTGAGACCGGATGCAAAAAAAATAGGTACATTTAAATTCATTCGTTCTAAATATGTTTCTAATAAAATACACAGTTCCTGCGCTCTTCCAACGGCAAAAACAGGTACCAATACTTTGCCACCACCACGAACACATTCAACCACTTTTGACATAAAATCTCGTTCTCTTGCACGTCGTGAATCCCGTACTGTGCTACCATATGTAGACTCTGTAATGAGAATATCTGGACGACATCGATCAATGTGAGCAGAACCCAAATGGCGATCAGCTGTTGTGTTAAAATCACCCTGAAATTTAAATACAAGACTAAACTATGAAAAAATAGTGTTTATAGGAAGTTTTCAAAATTATCAGATCAAAGCAGAGATTAAAATAGACAACACTAACATTTCGTTTATAAGACTAATTGATGGTTACTTACTGTATAAACAAGTGTCTGTTGTCCAACTCTGATATGAAACATTGCTGCACCCAACACGTGTCCAGCATAATAGGCTTTTATTTCAAAATCATTATCAACCTAAAAGACTAGAGGAATGTGAATTATTATTCAAAAAAGTAAATAATCAAAAGCTTACTTTAACTGTTTGTCCAAGACTGACAGGTGTCACTTTTTTCATGCAATTTTTAATATCTTCGGTTGTATATGGTCCTTCGTTTGTTGTTTTATCTGTTGTTACTTTACGAAAATCTTCCTTAGAAATAGCAATAAATAAATACCTATAGCAAAGTGAAAGACATAGAGAATATCTAAACTTACTAATAGTAATGGGCATATGGCTTTTGTCGGATATGTCATATAAAGTGGACCATTATAACCCTTGATCTCCGTCATGTAAGGCAAAGCCCCACAATGATCTAAATGAAAATGACTAAAACAAAATAAATCTTTGTAATTATCTGTGAACTTGAGAAAAAATAGTTTGTTACATTAGAAGAACAAACTGCTGATAAACAGTCAATAAATATTTAGAACGGGTGTCCAACAAAAATACTATGTAGATGGGAGAAGTCAAAGATTTTTTTCTTGCAAGTTGACAATATACAACTAATTACCTGATAATAACGCAATGGATGTATGGTGTGATCGGTCCATCTTTGCATATGATTGAAAAGTCAGGAAAACGACGCTAGAAGCCACCAAAGAAAAAAATATTAATTTCTCTGAAACTATATATTAATCCGATTTACTTCATCAAAAAATCCCATATGTAAACCACAATCAAGCATAATATTTTTACCGCCCATTGTGACCAGAATACAACTACGTCCAACATCTTGACCGGCGCCTTCAAAGAAAATAGAAAACACTTGCCGAGCTATCAAACAGTAACCGCAAATCCTACCTAGAGGTAATATCTTGATTTCCGACATTGATGTAGATGAATTATTTATACAAGTTATATAAAATAAGAACAACCAAATTAAAATGATTTTTTCAACAGAAGTAACAGTAGTGACATTCTCCTATACTGACGAAATAAACACGAAATATTAATCCGCTTGGACTCAAATATAAGATGGCAACAAAAGCAGGTATCGTCTTGGTACTTTTACACTTTATAGACACTCCGTGTCACCATCTTGGATTAAGAAAACAATTATTTGATATGTCAAGTAACGTTTTTTTATTATATATAGAGAAGAATAGAAAACTTTTCTGAATTGGCCGATGATTTATGAAGGGATAATGCCACATTTCTAGCACTAATCCCAACTAATAACATCTGGAAAAGTAATTTGATGTAATTTAATGCTTTTTTAAAGTTGTGATATTTATTTTTAAATTTAAAGAGAAACTGTAGAATGACAAAGGTAGTGAAGAAAAAAGACTGAGCGCTTTCGAATTCTTTTTCAAAGTCTTGAAGTGAAGCTAACTGGAAACGGTGAAGAAATGATAATAAATCATGCCTGTATATAAGAAAATATCTATAGGAAAAAGAATGCTAATCTATGCGGAAGGCCACATTTTTGATCAAAGTGAAATATAGGTATGAACCTTATTGGAGAAAAAGACTGTACAAATATCATTTTCTAATGAAGAAAAAAATTTTTTTCGACTAATTTTTGAGGAAGATAAATTTGCAGGCTCGTTTTTACGAAATGGATATGAAAGAAAATGGGAGAAAATAGAAGAAAAGAAACTATTTACACTTATACTCGGTTAGTCTGAGAAAATGGATAAAACTACTTGCTACAAACCTCAAGCAAAGATTTTTTTAGAAGATTTCTTCATCTTACTGGCGCGTACCTATATACAAATTCGTCTTTTTCATGAGGCCATATCACAAAAAAACTTAAGTGTCTATATCACTAAGTTAAGTCTTTGGACTTAAGTTTTATCTTATTACAAAAAATTTAAGTCAAAAAGTGACTTAAGTCATGGGAAATGTAGCCTTAAAGTAAAGACCGAAAACTTAAGTCGTTGACGCATTTTTCGAATAGCTGCAGGCATTTAACGATACGATTCAACGAAAACGACGTTCTATGGATTAGAGAATAAATAGTTTGTTATTTTGTTCCAAGTTTGTCACTGTTGTCAATGACTTTTAAAAAGTAAACAAATCGCCAACTTGAGTCTTTTCGTAATACGGTTTAAGTTCCCAGACTTAAGTTTCGTAATACGACCCCCTGCTCTTGCATAATCACTGGTATATCCCATGAGGTTTTTTTCCCGTTTCAAACGGTGTCCAAACGCATGCAAACAACGAAATAATAGAAACGCATTCAATCGATAGTTGAAACGCGTTTTTTAGCCGTATAAACGATATACGAAACGCGTTTCTATTACTTCGTCGTTTACACGCGTTTGGTCACCGTTTCAAACCGCAAAGAAAACCTCATGGGTAGATGTCAGATGTGCTTATGACGTATATGTTTTATCTTTTTTTACAGCGTAAATCCATTGAATGGAATGAAAATTTTAAATCTAAACAGAAACTGAATGAGATTTCATGTATTGCTTTCATTTTATTCGGACAAGCTGTAATTGCCAATATATTAACTGTTATCATTGACGCAATTGTATACATATCAATCTCATTTGGTTTTTGTTTGGTTCGTTGGTTTGATTGCACGTTCAAAATTTTAGAGTCGAGAGTTAAGTAGTAGGCTCAAAAGTTCATATCACCGCAAAACTCTACAATCAACGAAGTTGGATGTATTCTTTCCCATTGGTGAATGCTGGAATGAAAAGAAATGATGCTGAAAAGATGTCGCACACGAATACTACTTCTCGTACTTTCCAAAAAAGAGGTTAATCTATAATGCATCAAGAACCATATAGTAAGGGTTTACAAGAAGTAAGATCAGACTAAGAACACGCAGCGTCTAGAATTCGGCATAGGTTTTTGTTTTCATTAACCATGGAATCAATAGTAATGAGAATATCTGGAGATATTTAAATATCTCCAGATATTCAGGGTTCTCGATCAAGCGTGCATTGTTTTCTCAAAAGATATATATTATATTAGGTGTTCTTCAATAAAAAGTTAGAAGACTTTTCGTCTGAAAGGACAAAACACTGGGAAAAATGCTCTCGGTAAAAGCAACCAAACCGATGTACTAAAAATCGGCAATTAACCTCATGAATGCCGTAAGGCATCTATATGATAGCCTATCATATAGATGCCTTACGGCATTCATGTCAACGGTTGACATGAAGGAAATTTTATATGTTGCATATGCTTTTTCGTTCTATCGATTTAACGAAAACAAACTGCTAAAGGAACACATATGCCACGAAAAAACAGAACGCAAAGAGAGCCATTTAATCGTTTTTTTACATACGCATGGCGTTGGACGCGTAAGCGGACAAATAACGGCATTCAAGAGGTTAATCATGAAAAATCGTACGATTAATCGTGATTAATTGACGATTTTTTCTGGGTACTAGGTTCGAACCCATCTTAGAAAATACATATTTTTTTCTGTTTTTTCATTGTTTATTATGTATGGTGACATGTACGTCACCCAGCAACGGTCTTAGCATCAGCTGAAGTCAGAGCCTTTCCGGCGAGCCGATTTTAGATATGAATCCATAGCTTACGGAGAACTCGACGATCTCGACCAAATCTGTGAGATTCTGTCGCTGGTGAAGAAACCTTTGAAGGTCATAATATGTTTTAGATGACTTTACTAAATCATTGAGGCACTGTTATCGCATATTCTGCATTAAAAATTTGAACACCTGAAAAAACAAAGAAAAGAATGAATATATTGCGAGTATTAAGTGCGACACTACTACGACCAGCTCTTAAACAAATATACATTTCCTACATTTTACATGTTATACCGTATACTTTACAAATTTATGGATGCACATCTAACTATGATTTACGCTTATTTAGACAATTATAATATCAAGCTACTCTCACTATTTCCGGGACTGGCCGCGAGACTGGTCAGGAAAAGCTAGAAGATCTCGGTCTTCCTTCTATTGACCAATTCTATATGCACAAATTTGTCTTTTACATAAAATAGTTTATCATCATACTACTTCTTACTTGTCAGATTTAATTACTGTGCGTATATTAATCTGTCAAACCGTTTTTCACATAAGACAGACATTCTTTCTGTAGTACAGAAAGAATGTCTCTCTTATGTGAAAAACGATCAATGTGGAAAAAGAACTATCTTTGGCTGTTCAGAACTGTTGGCTCCGCATGTTCGATTCTGAAGTGAAAACAGTTAATACACCATATATATGTACGAGAGATGTTTTCATTGGAACAGCATATTAGAAATTAATTGAGAAAAAAAATCGGCAGCAGAAGCTACAACAAGAGACGATACAATCGTAGATTAGGAGAAATAGGTAAGAGTTGGATAAGTGAGTTATAAAAATTGTATACGATATTTATACGACTCGTATAAGAATCTGATAAGACTTTTTTCAAGAGAATTATGAAGTTCTTATAAGTCTAGTACGGAATAATTATCACAATCGTGGTCGGATAATACTCATATAATTTTTTTATACACCCCTTACCAGTTAAGTATATAAGATTCGGTGTCTAGGGTTCATGTGGTTGATTTGATGATGATGTCGGGCTTTAAATCACAGCCACAATCAATGGGCAAGCGTAAATGGCTGAGAAAACCAAGAAAAATCAAATTAGCCTTGCCAAATGTCTAGACTTGTGTTGTTCACACGTTTTTTTGCTGTCATATTTATTTCTTTGAGATCTTACTGTATATACTTCTATTGTCGCATGACAAGACAGAAAATTAATTCGGCTGGAAAATATCACCTTCCAGACTTACTAAGTGAAGTTCCTCCTGGGGGCTAGATTATACTAAATTTCCAGGCTGCTTACATTTTTAGTCAAAACAAGCAACACATTTCGAATTAGTTCATCATTGGAGAAATGAGAAGGATGCTTGAAAAAACGTTTATTCGTAAAAGAATTCTGGTTTGTCCGCATGATAAATAGGCATGCACCAAACCGTTCGCAACCGAACATGTTCGGTCACCAAACTGTTCGCAACCGAACATGTTCGGTCACCAAACTGTCCGCAACCGAACATGTTCGGCCACCGAACGGTTCGCTACTGAACATGTTCGCTGCCGATCAGCGAGCCCTAGCTTGGGATGGTTGCATGCCTGATCTGGACTAAAGGCAAACTGAATGAAATTGAAGCTTTTGAAGGAAATTACCAGCGAGAAAACAGATTAACTAAAGCACAATATGAGCGAATGTGTCTTCTACCGGATCGCTATCGAACGTGTTCGGACGAAGATTGTAAATACGATAGTTTATATTTTTCTCATCAGAGACATCGACGAGCGCTCTGCTGACAAACTATTAGGACAAAGTACCATAAACCTTATAAAGATACGTTCAAATTAGAGCTGCAACTGTCTGTCTACTTTTTTCTGCACAGTGAGAAAAACCATTTTTGCATGAAAACAAACTAAATCAATCTGCTATACAAAGGCCACGTTAGTAATTAATTAGAGAGTAAATCAGATATAATGGAAACTAAAGGTACTTTCAACTTCCTGGAATAAAGTAAATATAAATTTGCTGCTCTGATTCAAACTTTTCTTTACATGACTACCCACGGCTACGGCGTAATCAAGGCTGCTCCTCCGTTTGGTGTAATCTCCATCATTTTTTCTGTTTTACAAAGATTTCTTTCATGTGTTCTTCGTTCTCATGTTCTTAGCTTTGACAAACTATTTTTTTTAAACCTTTTGTAGCGATTCAGTAGAAGACACATTCGCTCACATTGTACTTTAGTCTATTTTCTCACTGGTTAGTTCCTTCAAAAG